ACCCTAATATAACTGTTTAGTTGGTATTTTGCATTCAGGAACCAGATTCAATTACAGTACTAAAATGAAATCCCAAGTGAAGTCTCAAAACAGTCTTGACTTGCACAGCAGTATACATTGTTAAGTCTCTACACATACTATAATAATTCATAACAGTTGTCAGTCTCTGATCTTTATCTCCCAATTCAGAAAGCAGAAATAATAATGATTTATAGACTTTGGCCTCAAACTACAACAATTCTATCACTTCATGGGAGTCCCATAATTTTGTAATGTGTGTACATGACCTGTGCCATAAAGTACTCTCAGATGTTGAATGATTCTACTTCGAGGTTGTTAATAATACAAGGAAGTTGGATTTACATGAACTTTTATCATTTAATGTCTAATACTTAGTACTAGCTTCTTGGTACAATGAGTAAAATATTTTCAGAAGTACCTAGGGATGTAGGAGTGTAAATCCAATGGGATCAAGCTTTCTAAACAAATTGAGTGCTTTTGAAAATGTTACTTACTAAAACCAGTCTTACCAGTCTGTTTCCATGTATGCTGACTATGAGTTTAATGAACAAATGCATCAGGTATGTTACACATTAAAAGCATTTGCATGTGATCTTTAACTTTTGCTCTCAAAGCTGTAAGGATAATAATAATGAAAAGGATCTGAGTTAATCAAAATGGGCACCTATACACATGTCTGATGCCTGCTCTGACCCATTCTAATTAGAACACATCAGAGCAGACTTAACTAATTAGCACACTCCAGCAGCCTTGGCATCACGTGTATTAAGTATCCCCAAACTTCAAAATGGTAGTAGGGGTGCTTTAACTAAAGCTCATTCAATGACTTACTCTTCTAGGGCCTAATAAGAGAGTTATAAGAAATGATAAAGACTATTTTTGGATACTGAAATAAGTGGATACTTACACAGAAATGGAATGTACATTTAAAAATAATTCTTATGTTTACACGCTTACTTTTTGCAGTAGGTTTTTCATTTAATGCTACTGAAAGCAATATTAATTATGGTACTTTCCCCCTTCTCCCCCCTCTCTCCCCACCACTTTTTTTTTTTTTACTAGAGGAGCATTGGCTGGAAGCAGAGTTTAGCTTGACTGTGGAAAGGGGCCAAGAGAGTCACAAAGGAGGGAAGAGAGAAAACAGGGGCAGGACAATGCATTTGTTATGGGAAGAGGAGAGAACTTAAGAGAATAATACTAGAAAATGTTATGGGCCTTTTCTAATAGGGCCTTTGTACACACCACAAAATTGGCCTTTAAAGCAGCTTAAATGCCCTTTTGCACTGCTTTAATGGCATTGCTGTTCACAGGCTTGGTGATGTATTCCTCTTTAAATGGCTTTGGTACATAGCAGGATAAAACGCCTCCAAGGTGTTTTAGTTTGCTACCTTACAAAATGCAGCAATGCATAGGGCACTGGAAGCCAATGTGCTTGAGGCTTGCTAGGCCCCGCGCAGCTCAGAGGCTGTGGGACCTGGCAGCAGCCCACATAGTCGAAAAAAAAGTGGTGAGCCTGATCATCTTATTTTTTTTTCTTTTCTCCCCACCCTGAAGCCTGCCTGCCAGCCTGAGCTGTGTGAGAGCCTGGTGCTTCCCTCCATGGCTGTGGAGCCCCCCGGGAGTGCCCAGGCCAGGTGCTAGCAGGCAGGTGCTGCCTGGTGGGGTCCTGTGCAGCTCAAGAACTGCTTGGACCACTGACAGCCCCCCCCAGTTTAGTTCAGTTTAATTCTCCCTAAATTGAAGTGGTGTTTTTAAAAGCCCATCTTTTCAATTTAGAGAGAACTAAACTGAATTAAACCCCCATGGTATGTACAAGTGGTCAGACACAGTTGTTGGGTCCGTCCCCCCCACTCCCTTCATTCAACAGTTTTGTTGAGTAGTTTGCATCTTTTAGTACCTCAATAATGTGGATGGCAATTTTGGTTTCATTTTGTAGGTGAAAGAGCAACTCCTCTTGGCTTCTGATATTTGTTTTGGGATTTTGTACATATTTATATAATAAGCCAGTCTACTAATATGCAATATTCTTTTACAAAAAAAAATCTTGCAAGACTTGGAATGATTTAGTGTGGAAATACATCTTTTCCAAAGAGTAAATTATGTAATGGTATTGGATGCTGATCTTCTAGAAATTAATTTAGTATATAATGACAACTGAATGTATACATAAGCATGATAATCAGATTAAATTGATTTAATCTCAGCTGAACTATGTTCCACATTAGTCATGGATAATTACTGTCAGGAAGGACATGTTCTCACCATTCATTTTACATCACACAAGTATCCTTTTGGATCTTACATATTAATTATTTTGTTTAATTGTACTGAAGTTGCTTAGACTCTGTGCATATTGGATGTGAAGTAAAACAGGAAATTAATTCCTAGAAAATAATTAATTCACTAGTGCAACTAGTTTAACTGGTATTCCCAAAGCTTACAATTCAAATTTGATGTTATACTGTAAATATTCTCTGTATTCAGTGTTTGCTACTTCACTGATTAGCTGAGACGTTTCATAAAGTTAGTCACAGTTTTTCCTTTTGTAGCTACAGATTGATTTCTCCAGTTTTGTTTTGTAAAGTTAAGGTGAATTTAACCATTTAAGGTGAACTTAACCATTTAGTTCCAGTAGAGTTGTAATAATGAGACTACTCAATCAACATTAAATAGTACTGTATTTTAAAAAAATAGCCTGTATATATGAACCTTGTTTTCTGTGTAGGAAAAAGTATTGACCTTTTCTTTCCTTTTTGTAGAGACATTAAAGAAGAGTGACCTTTCTAGCTATCTAATTGATACAAATATTTAAATCCCTGAATCTCAATCAGGGTGCCAGAGGATGCCTTTAATAGTGCCATGGGGTGCTGTACAATATTAGTACTTTATCTTCTGAATCATAAGTAGGTGTTACACACTTAAAACCCAGAAATTGCAAGTAGGAATCCATAGTGTCAAAAACATTCTGATCTGTTGTGGTCTTCCTGAGTTCATTGTAAGAGAAGAATTGCTTTATTATTTTTCCATAGTCAAAAAACAAGTGAAATCTCAGAGCATTTTCTGAGGGGGACCTTGAGTCTAACAAGGTTGAGAGCTACTGATTTAGATGGATAGTATCAGTAACAGTTATTAAAATTCTCTACTGTGGCTCAAACTGAGAAAATGAAAAAATGGGCTCGTAAACATAAAAGAGTTGACTTAAAAGTGTATGAAAGAGACATTCTGCAAACTGATTGTAGACTACAAATAATTGTTTCAGAAACTGGCAAAAATCCTTTCTTGCCAAGGTTTCTTGATGAAATAGAAAAGATTGCACTAGAATTTAAAATTGGAAATATCTTCCAGTTTTGATCTACTTAATAAGAACTGCAGATTAGTTTTACAATATCATCATTTTATACTTCACTGTCATGTATACTGACTGCCTCAACTTTTAGTGATTGTATTTCCTAAACTCCTGGGGTATTTTTAAGGAAGTCTGGGGAGAAGAGGTGAAAGAAGGTCTTGTTTGCTTTTTCTGCAGTAGAATGTTACTTTTATAACAGACTTTTTTTAATCCTCCTTCCAAATGTGCATAGTGTTAAAGGATACAGAAAAAAATGACTTTGCAACTTAAGATGATCTGAAATAAAATAATGCTAATCTAAATTATACTATAGAAATTTACATGAGGCTCTTAGAGCTCCTACTTCATCTTTATTATACCTGTCCTGAAGGTCTTATATTGTCCTGGTGTTCAGACGTTATATAATTTTACTTCATTTAATATTTCCCCCCCTCAGGTTACATGGGTCAGGATGGACCTCTTGGATCTTGTGAAAATAAATACTGCGGTCTCGGTAGACACTGTGTTGTCAATGGAGAAACTGGCCAAGCTGAATGCGTGTGCATGGAACATTGCAAGCCTCACTACAAACCTGTATGTGGTTCTGATGGAGAATTCTATGAAAACCATTGTGAAGTTCACAGGGCTGCTTGCCTGAAAAAGAAAAAGATTACCATTGTTCACAATGAAGACTGCTTCTTCAAAGGTAAGTATGGTTGGACAAATTCTAGAATACTCTTGTCTTATACTGCAAATTCTGAAAAAATGTGGTTAAAGCAGTGGTATTCCTCCTGGCCCTGTGGTCCAAACAAGTGGCATGGGGCAAGATCCAGCATGGGGTCAGTTCACAGACGTGACTTTGCATGCTAGATCTGGCCACAGGGTGTGTTAATTGCCACAGCTCTGGAAAAGTTAATTGCCATGGCAATTAATCTTACCACTACTCTGTCACCAAATTTCTAGGCCTTTGGGGAACCTGACAGGCCAGGTGACATGGCCGTGCAGACTGGAAGTTGAGTACCGTTGAATTTAAAGCACTAAAGAAACTGCACCGACTGCACTGTGAAGAAGTGATGCAAAAAGTTGATTTGACAAGTATCTCACTCTAGAGATTTCATACAGCTATTTTTTCTCATTTTATTCAGTATCTGAATAGGGTACATATAAACCTGGAAAGTAAATTGTGGCTCTGGGACCAATCCACCCAAAGAGCTGTAAAACATGGCTGATGAGCATACTTACCTTACACATTGGGGCAGCCACTTCATGTTAACTTATGTTCCTGAATCACTGACATTAAATTACAAGCTTAAATTTCAGTGTGGTGCCACAGAGCCTCAGACTGCGCCATGCAGCATTATTGTGTAGTTGGATTCTAAGAATTGTGGTCATGGTGAATGAGAAATGTAACTTCTGCTAGCCACATGGTATTAGAATAAAGATGAGAACTTTTATAACTTGCTCTGTTTTATTTAATTTAAATGGAGGTCCTGGAATACTGCCAAATACAGTACTTGATTTTAAACTGTGTTTTACGTGCACCTATTTAATGTATACCTTTCTCCTCCCCCCCCCCCGCTTTCTGAATTTGACATTTTCTATCAGTTATTTAGTGAAACAAATGGAAAGAGAAATAAATGGCTTCAAGTAAAACCACTCTTAACAGGCTTGACTAGGAGGAATTGGTTCGTATTCTTTTTTTAATGACTGTCTTGTTTCATTAACGATTATTCAAGAAGTTTTAGAGATGGCCACCCCCTGCCCCCAATGTGTGTGGAGGAAGTCCACTAAAAAAGTAAAAAAAGAGTTCTGCTTGACATAAAACAGTATGTTTAAGCAACATCTATCAAATGAAATATAAATGAATATTAAGGAATAAAAATAGGAATTTCTGAAATAATATAAAGAGGAAGTTATGTATGAATTACTTGCATTATAGTATAAATGCAGATATAGTTGTGAGAAAGCTGCAGGTTTAAGACAATGTTGTTTTTGAAGTGGCAAACTTTATTCATTTTAACATCTCAGATGCATTTATCCTAGTTGTTGTTATGTATGTAGGAATATTGTAAGACATTGTTTTACTAATTAAAATAAAGAACTAATGTGAAGGACGGGGAGACCACCAAAATTCACGTTCTGTAGTGAAGCCCTGATTTAGATAAAGTAATTTTTGCATTATACACTTGGATCCACACATTTAGGCTTTATCAGAGTGACTGTGGGGGAGAGAAAGTTCTGAAGTGAGGGCTCTTCAACATGTTGTTTTTTTTTACAAATGTGGAGATTTAATTTGTGTATCTGTCATAGATGTAATATAACTCAGTGGCCTATGCCTTTTGTTTAATATTAAAATGACTGAAATTAACACTTTGGCTTCTATAGTCAGTTGCACACTGACTTCAAAGTGATTTCAAGTGAGATATGCTGGCAGAATTTGGCAATCCTTGTTTTTACTTTACCTTGTGTTAGTTTCAAGGGGCCATATACTATTCTTTTCTTCTTTTTTCTTTTATCCCTAGAGCAGGCTGGCCCTTTATTAATTTTTTTCTATGAATTTCCAAGTCAGTATAACTTCTTTCTAATGAGCAAAATTTCTTCCCAATCTGACATGGTCCATCTGTTAAAAAATGTAATTTACTCATTCAACATTTAAAATTGCAGCTGGAGCATGAATACAGATCCAAAGACAAAATAAAGAAAGAATTTCACCTTTTATAAGGAAGCATGTTATCTGGGCAACTTCTTTGCATTGATTGACATATAGGAGTAAAAGTCTCACAAGCAAATATTCTGTGTACCTCAATTAGCATCACAAATAACAATAGTTTAGGAGTATAATTGTTAATTTTGTGGTTTAATAATTTACAAATTAACCTCAAAGTGCTCTGAGCTCTGGCATAATGATTTGGAAACTGATTTTTGAGTGGAATCACTTGGGCAAAGCATGGATGTTCCACTTAATGTGTGTTAGGTTCGCAGCTGTAACAGAACAGATGTTCATGGCACATAAAGCACTTCAAAAATGGTGGATCCCACTCTTAAGCTAATTCTGCATGGATGTGTACTAATTTAAAGCACTTTCTGTTAGAGTGCTTTATCGAACGTCTGTGCCTGATCCCACTGAGGGTTAACTTAAGAGTTCAGTTGCTGCCATCTCGTGTGGTATTGTGCAGGGACATTTGATTTATCCAAGTGCTGGGATGGCCCATTGACTTGAGTCAGCGACAGTCTCTGATCCCAGCCCCAGGCATAGCCTGGCAAGGGAAATGGTTAGAGTGCCAGTATTTAAGTTACCATTGCATTTAATAATGCTCTACCATTTTCTAAAATGATAAGTTTTCAGATGTCTCTCTCATTTCTGTTTGTGATATAAATATTTTGTCTTTAAAGCAGTTGATTGGGGTTGGGTTTTTCTGTGGGGGGTTGCATTGGCTGACACGTCGTATGGGCTTTCTAAGTGAAGTGACTGCAGGATAAAAAAACAGTGAGTTCTTTTCACTCTTGTGTCTTTGATAAAGCGTGCTCTAAAATGGTCATGAGGAAATTCATTTTGTCTTGCTTTTGGCACCATCTTCTTCTATTATCTTTCCCATAACAAATGCAATAATGCATACATCTCTCTCACTCTCTTCCCTCCCTGCCCCCACATGTTAACATGTAAGCACATTAATCTGAAGAGAAATGACAATGCTTCTTCTGTTAGTCCATGTTGACATGAATTAGACAGTCAATATATTGTCTATTTTAAACTTAAAACAACAACAACAGCAACTTTTTGTATTATAATGACATTTTTCTTACCATTCCTTTCTGGTATATCTGTGGAACAACTGGATCTGCAACAGCAATTAAGGAAAAAAAATCTACACTGAGGATTTTGTCAGATTCTACTTATAAATCTATATAAATTCTCAATACATTGAGTTCCATCTGATATGGGGAGACAGATGTACTCTTTCTTCTCAAAGTAATCTCTGTGAAAAACCCAGAAATTAGGATCATATTCCTTGCAAGTATTTTCTGAGCCAGGAAGAGTAAGCTATAGACTGCAGTATCCTATCAATGTCAAATAAAAAAGTACTGCTGTCACTGTTTGAGATGGGATCAACTGTCACAATATGTGCATATTAAAAAACACACAAACCACTGTTAATTATTTATGTACGACTAAATTATGGTGTGTCCTTGGAATATTAACAATAACTGATCTGTTCCCAAAGTTCTTGAATTTTTTTAAGAATGGACTAAAGCAGGGTTCAGCAACCCATGAGCCAGATCCAGCTCCTGGAGCCCCCACATCCAGTCTGTGGATCTGTCAGGCTTTTTTATGTTCATGTACTTTCTGTCTATGTCCGTGCCACTACCACTTCTGTCTCCTCATCCCCTCCCCCAGGCTGCAACACGACTGCAACTTCCAGCTGGAAGGGAGCTTCACTGGGGTCAGGGACTGTATCAATACCTCTGCTGCCTCTCTCAGCCCCTTCCTCAAGGCTGTGGTGCAAACACAGCTTCCAGCCAGAGCAGAGTTGTACCAGAGCTCAGCTTGATGGGGGTGGGAGTGCGGGGAAGGGCAGCAGCAGGGAGAAGGAGCACCAATATGGAAGCAGCTGCCAGCTGCCCAGCCCCACTGCAGCTTTGCTCACATAGCAGCCCAGGAGCACAGGGTTAGGAGAAGCAGTGGCTTCTCCCAGCTGCATGGTTTTGGCAGAGAATCAGGGGAATTGTGTGTGCCCCCCCTTTTCCCCCGCCTCCTTTCTGCCGGCCACCCTATCAACAAATTCACCTGACCCATATGGGACTGGGGTTGGATTGTTCTGGCCTGCATTTTGAAAAAAGTTGCTGGCCACTGGACTAAAGAAATGATTGTGACAAATAGACAAATGATGAATAGAGAGGAAGATGAAGCTATATCAGCAAGTAAAAATGGTTGGTTGGTTTGATTTGTTTTGCGTACTTCATGGAGATTGTATTTTCTAACAGCTTAGTTTGAGATTTCTGGAGAGAAAGGGAACAGGGAATGGGAAAAAGATGGTAGAAGGTGGTCACTGTAGGAAGGAAAAGAAGATGGACACATCCCCTTCCCAGGCTGAATTTGTGAGGTCTTTTGTGCTGGTGCTACTGGCATTTATGGGCTGGCTAAAAGACTCTTTGGAAGTATTGAGAATATATATGTCACCCAAGAGGATGCCCCTGCTGGTCTCAGGCTATGCACTTTATGCCTAGAGAACAGAAAAGTAGCTGGCTGACACTGCACTTGATAATAATAAATAACCCCCTCCTAGTTGTTGCCAGCCTAGCTTTAACAAGCCACAGTGGGTGGTGATTGCAATTGATTAGAACTGCTCCACTCTGTGCTTCCTCCATGTCTTTACTGTGTGTATTCTCAGCATGAGATAATGGGTGTCTGCCACACTAAGAAGCCTGGAATTGTTAATTTTCTTAGGAACTGTACTTTTTTGTGTGGGACAATCAACCATGTGATTGGGCAATGATGCCATTGATGGTACAGCCATTGCATAATAGAAACTAGATGGCCAGTGCCCAAGCCTGAATGTCAAAGAAGATTCAGTTTCTCTTAAGTCGCATGCACTTTGGTGTGGTGTATACCTTAGTGACTTCTTTTCTTAAATCTAGGTCAGTAACTCTGGGAAGCATTGTATCTAAATGGCAGGCTGAAAGTTTCTTTGTAACAGGAGTTTCTTT